CCCTTAGTTCTACTGCTGTCCTTTTTTTTTGTCCTCAGGAGAGCCACATAACTGTCTAACCTTTGTGAGCAGCCCTTGACTATTGCTCTTCTCTCAAAAGAGCAAGGAAACTATATACTGCTTACCTAGCTTCCATTTCACCTATTAGTATGTTTGCCGTTTGTGAGCAAGCCTCATAAGATCTAATGAAATTATTTTATCTCATTTAGTCCAAGAGTATCCTGAAGACTGAGACCCCTCTTCCCAGCAAGTTTTATTCAAATGGGTCAATTACTAATTTAAATTTTCATATAATTTTGTTGAGTAGTAATTAAATTATTATAGAAACTAGTTACACTTTTACAAACAATTTGATACACTACTTAAAATTATATTATTATATATTTGCCTTGGTTTTCTTTTTGGGGAAAGTTCTCAACTATGCCACTGATGCTGGCACTGGAGTTGGCAGCTGAAATTCAAGAAAGAACTTTGATAGATGAGGGCTGGAAATCAAGTAAATTGTTCTTCTAAAAATAAAAAATATATATATATATGAGTACTACCTGAAAAATATTTCAATGGAAACTACTTTCAATGGACCAGCGTACCTTACAGGTTTTACCATGTGTGGCAATCACATGCTGGACACATTTATATTAAGAAGGATACTTAATAAATATTTTCCTGTTGTAGTTCAAAAATGCATCACATCAACATAAAGACTGTGTCACTATAACCGTTGAGAAAAGGTAGGAGGCGAAGTACATTCATGCTTCTTGTTAGAGTCTTTGCTTTATCTTGATTTGACTTCCACAGAGACTTTTGAAGTTAATTTCTCTTGGGAAGGGGCTGTTGCTGGGAAGCTGTTAATGAGCTCTTGGCAGAAAGATTTTATAATCTGTCTTTAGTCAGGACTTCTCCCCTCTGTTTGTCTTATCTGAAGGAATAGCTTTCACACTTGCTTATTTCTCACTAGGTGTTTATTTGATGTATTTATTTGTCCTTTTTTGCTCTATAGAGTTTTCTGAGAAGATTTTGTTGCTGTAGTAAGCAGAACAATTTTTTTTTTAACATTTGAGTTTTGATTTTGTTGACAACATCAGTGAGAAGAAAATGTAACAGCACCATCTCTTTGATGTCACTTGAAAGGAATATGAAGGAGAACTGAAAATGCATTTCGGTATGGAACTAATCTCTGAAAAGCAGGAAATGTCTGGACACAAGCCCAGTCTTAAGAGATAAAGATCTCCTTTAATTCATTGCACTGTACTGACCGTTTTTTTAGAAATAAGGAACCTACAGGGCACAGTTATCCTTATCCATGGATATGACAGTCTACCATCAATGAATAAACAATGCACTCTGATTTTAAACATAGCTGTACAAGTGATACATGTCTGTTAGCTAACAATTTAAATATGCATTGTACACAGATCCAGTTTCTGTCTAGCCATTATATCAAAAGAAAACATGTCAGATCACATTGCATTCATAAAATTCTTCATTTTAGCAACATGAGATGTAACAACTTAATGGAGATGAAAGATAATGATAAAGATTAAAATGTTTCAAAAAAAACCTGAGGTTAGAGGAGAGTGGAGCAGAATAGCAACAATGTGACACTTACAGATTTCGCAAAACTGAAGAAGCTTTTTGTTTCCCCAGTAACCATGTTAGATGAACCTGGAAAAGATGAGTACATTTACCCACAACTTACGACATGCTGACAAGCAGACCATTTACTATATGTAAAATCGTTTCTGTAATTCATACTTAAGAAAAAACTTTCTTCTCAAATTTAAAAGGGATTAAACAACAAAGAGGACAAGGTGACAGAGCCCTACAAGTTAATAGATATTCTGAGATCACAAAAACATAACGTGTTAAATCTTCCAAAAACAAAAACAGATTAAGTGCGGCAAGGCATTTTGACACCAAATCTCTTCCATAGCTCTCTACTTCTCTGTAGTAAAATGCCATCCACCTCTGACACTCTTATCATTTAAGAGCTATCAGTACACTGATATCCTTTCTCTCTCATCAACAGATACATTTATCTGAACATCAAAGGTCTGACTAATACATGGGTGAACATACATACACAGCACACTTCAATCTGCTAACAAGAGTAACGACAGTTCACTTGGCACAGACTTCATTGCAGACAGGCAGCCACGTTGGCTTGCACAGTCCAAGCAGACTTCTGAGCAACAGTGTATTCACTGTTACTGCTACCCGGCTAGCTAGACGAAAGCATAAGGAAGCAGGTATGCTTATCCATGATGTCATTCCACCTTCCACTGCAATATATACTCTTCATTTCAAAAGCTAAGCAATCCCTTCAGCTGTCTTTCTATAGAACTTGGCTGACTGTGGTTTCATCACTAACAAACAGCACGGCAGATAGGTAGAGCTGCAGGAGAGAGATGTCTACTCTGTATGCAGAGCATCCAATATACATAGTCTTGTCAAATGAAGACTAGAGATTTCTTCTTCAACACTTCCTCCAAGTTTCCTTCCCACAAGAACAGAATTCTGTTTTATTACAGTTTCCTTGGCCATACTATTTGATTGCAGTGGTCCATAAAATTAGAGAACCAAGCATTCTCCTACACCTTTTTGGGGGGTGGGGGGGGAGGGAGGAGGACCAAATGATGCTTAAGAAACTGAAACAAACATAGTTTCACTTTCAGAGTTTTTTTCTAAAGGGTTTCTTTTTATTAGCCTTTGTGTCTCAGCAATTTAGTCCATGCTCAGCCTCACTAAACTCCTCAACTGGAAATATCCAAATGGAGAAAATCAGCCACACAGATGAGCCTCAAATTCTGCAGGGGGTAGCCTGGATGAATTAAAAATATGAAATAGGTACCTGAATATTTCAACTCACCATATAAAATGTAAGTCCCAAGTGGTTTGAGAAGACTGAGGCCTTTCCCAGTATTTTCTCCACACAGACAATCCAAAACAATATCTACTCCTTCTGTTGAGATTCTAAAATGCAAGCAAGAAATCTCACTTTTCAGTAGGATCCAAGGTATCATTTAACCAGTATGATACAGGCTGATTGTTACTTTTCAGCAACCCAAGCCTTTGAGGCTTAGAAGAGGTGAAAACCATTTTGTTCCCCATTTGTGAGGACTTGCTGTAAAATTACATTATCACAAAACAGCCTATGGACACAAAGCTCTTTAATGTGAATGAATGTCATACAGAAAAAGGAGGACATTTTTGTTATTCCCATCTCTTGATGTTCTTTTACTGAATTCATAAGGAAATAATTTCTTATCCCAGTTAATCTCAGACAGAAGTCTTTTTAAATAACTTTACCAAGCTCATCATTTTGTTTCAAATTTTGTATCAAGTAGGCCCCAGCGAAGAGTTAAATTCAGCACAAAGAGACGTCAACAGTAGCCAACTACATAGGCTCTAAGAATACGATTTGGCCATATTGCAGGAAATAGAAAATATTTATAATGTTTCCATAAAAAGCTTGAATATTTGTAATGGTTAAACGAATAGCTCTGTGAATGTTATGCCAAAGTCTTGCTGAAGAGAAAAATATGCTCAAATATCCCAATTTCCTTTTTTTTTTTTTTCTGGCAAAACACGGACCTGAAAAATCTTGTCATTAGTTTGACCCAAGCCTAATATTCTACCTCCTAACTAAGTAGCTAGCCCACACAGTAGTAAATTCTTTATTAATAATTTTTAACAATTATGCAAATCACTAGTGCAGACACTATCATGAAATTGTAACCTTGAGACAATCAAAGGTCTAAGGGGCAGTCAAGAGTGTCTAATCCCCAGGAGCATCAACTAGTTCCTGATGGCCATACCTTCTGCAGTGGTATAACTGCAATTAGAAGAAGCAAGGAAAGAAGTAAAGCTTTGTGGCTTGTAATGCCATCTTTCCATTTCCTCACAAAGCAAAGGTGATATTCATACACCCTCAGGTAACAAAGGGCAACAAAATTGGACAACTTTACTCTTGGGCACTGTTGTCTTATGTAGAGTAATCATTTATTTATACGCAGGCCACTGGATGAGTTTTCATTGTAAATGCATAACGACTTAGAATCCAATGGCTTTCAGTGGCTCCCACGGTTGAACTGGTTCCTCACCTCCTGGGAGCATTTCCATGTCTGTTTTTTGACTTTGTTCCCTGTTCAAAGCTCTTCCCTGGAGTACCCCAGTCACCTGCAACAGACCAAGTTCCTACCACTACCCTTTCTCAAGCCACCCTTTCCTGCTCACAACCTCTCCACAAAGAAAGAGCTTCCTCTTCCCTTAAAAGGGGCTCCACTTGAGCCTGTATGCAGCAGACAAGCAAAAGCAAACAAGCGATCTTCCTTGGTGGCCAGCCAAACCTTTTAAACACAGCATAGGCATAGCATACAGCTAATATCCAGCAAAGCAAAACTGGATCAAACAGCTGCATCATCCATCCCACTGCCTCTTTCAAAACGCAATCCAGATGTTCAATTTGTCTTTATAGTGTTCTCAGAATTATCACTGTACTTGCTTTTTCAATGCAAAGTGAAAATATGCCATACCCAGATTTGAGCAACAAACCAGAGTATTGGGATATTTTGTCCAGTGCCAATTCTGACTTTTAATTAGCATGGTCAGATGCGCTAATACTACACACCTCTGTTCTGGTAACAGGAAAGAAGCACGAACCAACACGTTGCATCTCCCTTTCATGTTTTGTATCCACTGGTTCTCTGTCCTTTTGGCCTTATTGCAAGGTGCAAAAGTGTATGAAAATCCAAGACCATTAAAAAGCACTTTAACAGATGCCACATAACAGAATTCCGCCCCTTCCCAACTGGGTCTTCTTTTGATTTCACTAGTTACTGTCTGCTGCAAAGAGTCAGGGGTGGTGCCAGGGAGCTGTTCCACAAAGAACAATCCTGATGAACAACAGAAGCAGCCAATGTTATCTGCAGTTATGAAGTCACCAGAAGTTAAAGGGGCTTTTAACACTGATTTCTCTAGTATATGCTCCCACATCACATACCTGCTTATATCAGGTCTTCTGTTGCCCCTGTCAAGAGTTAGGATTAAGGTTGGTTTTGAATACTAATTAATAATTTCACTGAAATTCAAGCGTTCTCTTTTGCTGAGTCAATATTTATGAAGTGAGGCAGGCTAGGATTCAGCCTTCATCTCACTACAGCAATTTCCCAGGGGCGTAGGTATGTATATTTCCCCAAAAGAAAAGCTATTAAAGAAATGTGCTACAATTCTTCTGAGGTGTAAGAAAATGGCAGTCATGTTACCTGCTGGGCAATGCCTATCTTTCATGATGAAATTTCCTGTGGAAAATTTCAGGATTTTCAGGGTTTCTTTTCCTGTGATAGAAAATGCCCTTTGTAATGGATCACTTCACTTCAACTGCTCTTTTCAGTCCTTGGGAGTGGTCCAGAAACAGTAGCAGGGCACCCTGCTTCAACACTCCTTCCGCACCAGTCTTGGTTGACAGTGGCTCAGACACAGCTGGCTGTACGTGAAAGGCCCTCTCTGAGGACCACCAACCCTCATATCAAAAGACCTTCTGAGACTTTGCATCCATTTGACAGGAAGCCTGTTAACTGCAGAGCATTGGAATGGCCCTTTAAGAAATGTCTTGTGTTTTTTCCCAGCTACATAATATAGTATTTTGACAGATTCAAGATGCAGGGAAAACATTATTTCTTATTTGTCTGACAAGTAAAATTAAATTTTTTTTTCCTAAGACCTTTCTATTAATTCTAACTTATATCAACATCAATATCTAAAAATAGTTAGACAAACTGAAAAACAAAGTATGTGAAAGCTTCTAAATGGAAATGGAAGCACACACACGACAATTTCAAAAGGCAATGGGATGATTCTAATCTGAAAGCAAACAAAATCTAAGAAACTGAAATTAAAACAGACTTTATGGTGCTCTGATATTAGTGCCTTGCAGAAGATAAAAATTCAGGCAGGGAGAATCACACCAGAGAATTCCTCCAAAACCTGGACGACTTATAAATCAACTGAAAATTACTTACTCCGTGAACTACAGTGAACTACTATATATATGCCGATAACAGGAAATGAGGTCCTTCCATGGAGATTTTCATTCTTTTTCCACTTAATTTATTTGGCTTGCAATAGATGAACATGAGATGAGCTTACTTTGCTTGTAAAGAAAGAGGGAGATGCTCGCTATCTTGTCCCTTGTAGCGGGCAGATAGAATATCTGCAATCAATTACAGTTCCCAAGCTCACAAATTTAATCTCTTCCCAAAGCAATGTTCTCCTGTATGGTTTTCTTAGTATTTTGCTAGGTACTACATTACTCAGGAAAATAAAAGATTACCTTTTTACTTCTTGAACATAGTCTGCATTTCTGTCAAACAGATGAGTTACTGAGCCTTTGATTGCTTCATGTTTGAAGGAAGAAGCTGTTCCAAAAACAGTAATATTCGGAATAGTTGAACAGAGCTGAGCAACAGCTTGACCCTGCAAATATGATAATATATTAGTTCACTGACATGGACATTGGCTGAAAAATTTTGCAACTGTCAATTCAGTCATGATACAGCAAAATCGAAGGCTGACCATATGCAAGCAATTCCCAAACTAATTTCATACCAGTGCAATGCAATTCAGTGACAGGAAAAAAAGAAAAAAAATACAGTTAAAGCAAACCCTGGAAAAAAATTGGAGGGATAAAATGAGTTTAATCTATCAGAAATTGTATCAAAGAAGAGTTGTTCTTTTAACAAAGGCAGTGTAATTTAAGGGAAATGGCATTAACCTACAAGGAACACCTAAAATGATTACTGAAGGAGTGCATGAGGAATATTTCTAGTTTCCAGGATTTTTCATATGGCAAAAGAGCACAGAAAGAGGTTATTATCAAACTCGAAAATTTTGATGCAAATTTAGTACCTGAAACGACAGGTCATACGGTTATTCTTGTTTCTACAATTAACAACATCCCTTTAATGAAGAGGGAAAAGCTAAGAAGGGCACAGAGCTGCTTCAGAAGTTTCTTATGTCATTTTCTACATCTAGCAATGTTCTTTAAAATGCTTTTTAGGATTTTATTTGGCTTTGCACAGTATGTTTCAGTTTCCTAAGCTGAAACCTTGTATTGGTCTGTTTACCACTACTATTATTATATTACATTATTTCTGGGGGCTGACCTGCTGGAAACTCTACAGAGGACCTGGGAGTCCTGGTGGACAAGGTGACCATGAGCCAGCAATGTGCCCTTGTGGCCCAGAAGGCCAATGGTCTCCTGGGGTGCATGAGGCAGAGTGTTGCCAGCAGGTGGAGGGAGGGGATCCTGCCCTGGTGAGGCCTCACCTGGAGTACTGTGTCTAGTGCTGGGCTCCCCAGGACAAGAGAGATATGGCACTGCTGAAGCGAGTCCAGCAAAGGGCTACTAAGATGATGAAGGGCCTGGAGCATCTCTCCTAGGAGGAAAGGCTGAGAGGGCTGGGCCTGTTCAGCCTGGAGAAGAGAAGGCTGAGAGGGGATCTCATCAATGCATGTAAGTATCTAACGGGAAGCGGTCAAGAGGATGGGGCCAGACTCTTCTCTGTGGTGCCCAGCAATAGCACGAGAGGCACTGGGCACAAACTGGGACACAGGCAGTTCCATCTGAACATGAGGAAGAACTTTCCTGTGAGGGTGAGAGCACTGGAATAAGTTACCCAGAGAGGTGGTGGAGTCCCCTTCCCTGGAGATACTCAAAAGCCTTCTGGACACAATCCTGGGCAATGTGCTCTAGGTGACCCTAGTTGAGCAGGGGGGTTGGACTAGGTGATCTCCAGAGGTCCCTTCCAACCTCAACCATTCTGTGATTATGACTTTTTTATTTACCAAAAGCCATACTTCCTCTAGAAATTTATAAACAAAGCAATTGAAAAGAAACTAGAAAACTTTCATAGCTACATCTTCCAAAATGTTGAATTCTAAAAACCAGAAAATTAAAACACAGATTTTTTGCACAATTGTTTCTTAATTTTAATAGCTCTAAAATGTAATACTTTTGTTACAACATTGGCATCCACATATTCATCTTAGTACTATGAATGTCACTTAATGTCCTGTGGAAAAGTGATCATTTACTTCCACGTTCAGCACTTGATTCATAATGTGATATGAATTAAAGCATAGGGCAAAGCCATTTTTTGATATGAACACAGAGACTTTACATGATATCTTCCCTGCTATATATTGTTTCTATGTGAATATTCACTGCACTTGCAAAGGTCCTCACTAGTCTTTTCACAAGAGCCCCATGAGTAACACTAGCAGTCCTCTTTGCACTTCAAACCTCTGCATAATTTTGACAGATTCCACATACAATTCCAGCCCTCTCTTTTAGTGGGGAAGGCCTTTCAACACATTATGCCAGAACAGAATTACTAGTAGATAATGTAAAAGTACTTGGTTCGTCTGGTACTTAGATGCAGCTTTTATTCTTAGCGTTTTCGTGGTCCTAATAAGGAAGGTCTAGTGGAACCAGTCCCAATACAGCATCTAGTCTACCATTCCCGAGAAATCACATTTTCTTACTGTTGCAGCAGGAGACAGCAGGTTGGTGTGAGAAATAATAAGTAAAACTGTTTTGGGAAATAAAGCACATTAAAGCAAATCTATCATTACTGAAGATTTAGAATGCAGGACTAGCCATGAGTCACACTAACAGGTCCACCCAGTCCAGTACCCCATCTTCAAAAGTGATTAGTAGCAAAGGGCAGAAAATGGCCTAGAGCATGTACAGGGAAACCACTCTCCTAGTATATCCTCTCTGTTTCCGGAAATAAACAATTTAGAGACTTTCTGAGGTGAAGGCAGCATCTAACAGCTCTGATTCCTGCCGAATTTCTCTTAATTCATATTTAAGACCCTGTATACTTTTGGCCAATACAGCTTCCAAAATGTAAGTTTATTTTTCTCTATACTGATTTTTAAATGAGCTTGTAGGAAATATGGCATTTCTTGCAGCAGATAACATGCAAATTTCATGTCATATTTTCAATTTCTCAGCTTTCAAATAGAATCATGGTCTTTTCTAAGGCAATACTGAAAATTAAAATACTGAAAAAGAGAACTCATCTTGCTCTGTGACAGGCAGACTCAATTTCTTCCTATCTACACACACATGTACATGCATCCACTCACTCATTAATCCTCACAGAGGGATTAAATTGATATAATTACTCCTAATTTAGAAAAATTGGAACAAAAGCAAAAGCTTGTCAGGCTAGAGAAGAAGGTGTGCAAAATATTTGTACAAAGCTTGTTTTTGCCCTCTTTCATACAGGTATTTGCCAAAATTCATGCAGGTGTCCCTTAGGATTTCAAATTGATCTGGATCAAATTCTGAGTGAAAGTATATTCTCTGGCTGTAGCCACAGAGGAAAAGGATTCTGCTTTCATTAGATACTTTTTTCAGCCCATGGTTTTCACAAGAAACCAGACACAAGAGTGAGATGCCTCTCTCTTTTTTTTCCCCGAAGCAAGAGGCCATAAACAATCCCAATCTTGCACGTAGATCCTCACATCTACCAACTGGAGCAGCATGCTCCTGTGGGCTCATTGAGTCCAGTCTCCTGGAGGCCTTTCATAGAGGAATATATGGTGGCCTCTGCAAGCGCCTCCCATGGGATGGAAGATCCCGTGTTTGGGCAGAACAACCACTGGAGGCAATTGGGTGCCATGCTAGTATTTGGGTAAGACTTGGGCAAGATTTCTGCTTTCAGATGCCTGTAACCTGTAATTTCATGAGGCTGAGAAAAGGGAGGCATTGCATAAACACCGAGTCATTTTGAAGATGATCCCAACAGAGCATCCTTTTACAACGCCAGTTTTTGTTGTTGCTGCTTTGTTAACACACTAACAAATGGAAGATAGATTTTTGGTAGACAAATTCCACCTCTTGTTGCAAACACATTATTCCACTGGAACCAGCATGGTTACATGAATATGCCTAGAAGCAAGAACTGGCACTGTGATTCTAAAAATAACGTCTGACTGAATTTAGCAGATTTGAACTTAAATTTACGGTCAAAAGGTCATCATTTGTAAACCGTATGCATGACTAATAAAATCGTCCATGGAGAAACACATTTCTTCTCATTCCAACCAGAAACCCTGATTATTTGCATGTAAATACCAAGAGACAAACGGAAGTGAGCAGAAAGGATGCATTATCATTCTTACTTTACAGATGAGAAATGGAATAGCACAGCAAATGACTTGGAGGAACTCAGAGCAGGACCCAGATCTGGATGCTGATTTGTAGCACCAACATCAATTTGTATTTGTACTTGAATACCAAACATAAATCACCTTTTCTTTTTTAGAATCATCCATCATTTTCCTAAAGTTGGAATCTCTAATTTCTTCGAAATCACAGGAAAATCCATTCCTGAGGGTCTTCACCTCACAGGATGCAATGACTTTCAGGAGCGGAAGAGGTTTCACTCTGCTCATGCTTCGTTTCTCTGTTACTTACCTTCTCAATCTGAAGCCCAGGTTTTAGCCTCCAAAATTATTGTAATGTAAAATTACAAGAAAAGTTAATCTGAATTTTATATCTTTCTTACTCCTACTTATTTTTACAAGCAATCTGCTTGTGCCATTTTTTGTGTCTCCCTGAAAACTATTGCCCAAAGTGATTTAGAAAAGTCAATATTTCATAACGTATGCTAGTTGAGTGAAATTCTGCCCTATTGATCTATGCTCTAATTAGTTTTCTGCATTTTCTATCTAACTTCAAAGGAGAGGGATAATAAGTATGTCCTGATTCAAAAACAATAAATGTTTAGAAGATCAAATATTAGAGTAGAAAACATCTTGTTTTTTATCCTGCAAAGGAAGATTAACATTTAACTAAGTGACTGACAGACAAATAGGAGAAACGCACAAAACACCCAAGATGTGCATAACCTCCTGACTCAAATTGGTGAATACATCCTCTGTAAAGATAAGCTTATATAAAACCCCAGATCAGAATACTTTTGAGCTTTCTGTGGATATTTAAAGCCTAAAACTGACTCATATGACCAGTATTTTTATAATTGGATGAACAAGAACACTGAAGTATTTTGAGGCAATTCCACAAAACATTCTTCTACAGCTTTTGAAGATCTTAATTCAACATTAATTTGTACTTAATTTTGTGAAAATTATTCTGAATTTTTATACTTCAGACATCTAGGAATAAAGGCTGATATTGGACTCTTCATGCTTTCGCCACTGAAATGGGAGAATGAACTCAACCTATGAACTCAAATATTTTGCTAATTTCTGTGGAATTTGATTAAGCTCCAAAACAGCACTGTGGCTATGCAAGTCACTCCTAAGTCTCTTTTCTAATCCCTCAAGTCATTTAGCTACCTTGGGATTAATAGCTTGTGTTTAGAGGGCTACACATTTTAATTGCAAATATGCGAGGCCTCAGTGCTCATGTCCACAATATACAGAAATGAAGTGTGTAC